AAGGAGACACTTTTAGAGAAGAAAATTTTCCCGTCGCTACCCGGATTCAAACCCGGGACCTTTGAATGAGAGGCGAACACCTTCATCTCTATTCCACGAGAGCCTCCCATGATGATGATGATGATGACGATTGCTACCATTGTATTGTTATTAGTAGTTTTTTAAAAAATTCAATAAGAGTGTTACGGCTCTTACAACAACAACAACAATCAACAACAGCAACAACAACAACAACAACAACAATAGTAACAACAACAACTGCAACAACAAAAGTAACAACAACAGCAACAACACGGCACGATACACCAAAAGTCGGACACAAAGAGCGGTGGACACCGTTGCTGACTGGAGTAGGCGATTGAAATTCACGCTGAACGGCTCCAAGAGCGAGACTACTTTCTTCACGCTCGAAACATCTGATTTGGAACGAAAGCCATGCATCACGATCAATAATTCGACAATTAAGTATGAGCCCTACACAAGACTCCTGGGAGTCACACTCGACCGCAGGCTCACGTTCAGGAAACAGGTTGAGACAGTTATAGCTAAGGCCACACACAAGATGCGGTCGCTCGGGACTGTCACCCACTCAAAATTGGGATGTAGGAAAGACGATCTATGCAAGGTCTACCTCACCCATATACAAAGTGTCCTCAACTTTGCGAGAAGCAGCTGGCAACAGAGGTTGAGCAAAACTCTGATGAATAATCTGGAGGTGGTTCAAAACAGATGTCTGTGACTGATCACCACCCAAGCTCAATACTCATCAATCAAGGCACTTTGAACTGAAACGGGGGTTCCAAGCATTGAGTCCACTCTCAATGCTAACAGCCTCCAATCAAGAGAGACGGATATGCGAATGAACAACAACCATCCCCAACGAATTGCAGCTACGGAACAAGTGCACGGGCGCCTAAAGGGACGCAGAGATTTCCGAAAATGGGCCGAAGACGCCAGCAAAAAGAACCCACAACTGTTCAACTGCGAGAGGAGGCCCATTACTCAACATAGTTTGTCCCCACCTGTACGGCATAAACGGAAGGAGTGACTCCAGTGTGAAGATCCGAAGCGCTGCTCTTTGTCGAGCATGAGAGCTCGGCGCACAGTACAATAGCTACACTGACGGCTGCAGGAACAACTGATGGCGCTGGGTCGTCCTCACAACGGGGGATCCGTCCAACCCGACAGTTGTTGAGACACTGAGGGAGAAAGGCGCTCTATTCAAGCGCTCTTGGGAGGAAGAGAGGAGAGCTTTGGAAATGGCCATTGACAAGATCGATTAACATTGAGATGCAGGCAACTGGGCCGGTATCTTTACTGACAATCAATCGCTATGCAAGGCTCAAGTGGGTACATCACCACCTCTAGACCAAATGCGACTACGCATAAATAATACAACACCTCAACCCACGATTCAGTGGATCCCTGGTCACTGCGAGATCCTTGGAAACGACCTCGCTGACAGTAATGCCAAACTGGCAACAGCGCTGCCGGGCCCAGGCGGCCAAATTGCATATGAACGTGCGTGCGCCCAGATAAAACTGATCGCAAAAGACCCTCAAATATCCCGCACGAAGCAAATATACAGGGCAATTTTCTTAAAACGAGAGGCTCTAATTAAGTCCCGCAGCGACCAGTCATTATTGGCAAAAATCAGGACCGGTCACTTCTCAGGGCTGCGGGCCTTCAAAAGTAGA